TATATTGGGCAGTTCACAGAATCTCCTGGAGGGCTGAAGATACAGGTCTAGCAGCCACACAGCCAGAAAAGACTCCACTGCTGCTGCTCACAGCAAACCAGGCAGAGTGAGCCTGGGTCACAGCAGCCTCGAGAAGACTGTAAAGCTGAGGCTGCTGCCTTTGTCAGAAGGGCTGCTGCAGATGCCAGTTCTTTGGCTGACATACATCCATCATTTCCAAATGTGGGCATGTAAGTCTGCTGGGAGGAGTCTTGGTCATATGGTGCACCCTCACTGCAAGGGAGACTTTCACCTCCTGATATGACAGGGGATTTCCCAACACTGGACAGTCAACATGGAGCACAGAAGTCTTGTGCATCACACAACCAGGGCAGGTAGAACCAGGCTTTGGTGCCAGGTCCATTTAGCCACAAAGCCCCTTACTGTAGGTTCTTGGAGCTACCCAGCAGCCAGCCAGGCATCCAAATAAGGGTGATTTCAGGCTTCCAGCTGATCCTGAGTGGGCCCAGCCTGCCCCAAAATACATGTGTCTGAACAGCTTTTGATTTGAAAGGCAAATACATTTAGAGATGTAAAAAATGGGTCTCAAACACTATTTGAAACTTGAGTGAAGTTCAAGGTTATGAGGCAGTGAATTGTTGGAGAGTCACTATGATACAATCAACAAAAATTGGGCAAATAATGTTGAGGTGAGAACTATGAGAGTTTTGGATTTGTAAGAAAGTGGAACATCACAGGATGTCCTTAATGAAAACAGATCCAAAAAGTAATCATCTAAATGTTTTTAATTTTTTTTAAACCACACAGGTAATGCATGAGCATGTTTTTTTCAAAGATTACAAATAAGTCTCAAGTTGCCTTGACCATCACCAGCAATCTCTAGAGAATTCCTCTATACAAGAAGCTGCTGCTCTTAAAAGTTTAATGTAGATCTTTTTCAAACCAAAAAAATGATGTTTTTACCTACTGATTTGTATCATAGAAAATAGGTTGTATTTAGTGTGTGTGTGTGTTTCTTTCAGCACTATGTCTTAGAGATTGTTTGTGTTGGAACATACTGATCTGCTTTACTGGTTTACGTACTGCACGGTATTTTATTATGTGACCACACAAGGAGGCTTGCTCCTGTCAGTCTCCTACTGATACATATCTTGGATGCTTTTTGCCTTTGCAAACAACATTCCAATGAACATCCTTGAATGCTTCTCTTTGTGTGCTCTGAGTTTTTTCCCAAAGTGGCTATGAAGAAGTAGGATTGCTGGGTCATGGAGGATGCACATCTAAACTGGCAAATTGACTGCAAAAGTGCCAGCACCAAATTATGCTCCCACTTGCAGTTTCGAGAGAAACCATTTCCCCACATCAATATTAGCACACTTCTTAATTTTTGCCTATGCGAAGTGCTTTTTAATTTGCATGTCCCGTAGTGCTAGTGATAATAAATATCTTTTTGTGTATCTGTTGGCCATCTGTATTTTTTCTTTTGTGTCTGCTCTATTCCTATTTTTCCTCATCAATATCCTCTTATATTTCATTTCTAGACTCCTAGAGTAGAGATGGTTTGTCTTGTTCCTTACAGTATCTCTCGTGCCTGGTCCAGTATGTGCCATGAAATAACTGTGTAAATACTCTTGAAATGACCCAAGTCATCATAACCTCTAACAAGCATAACTTTTCAGTTTTTAATCAAGACATAATGTGAAATCTCCTTCCGAGGAGTGAACCTTAAGACAAAACATTAGGTTTTTAACAGAAAAATCAGATCTCAGTCACTTCTGCTAACAAGTGACTGGTTGTCCTAAAATGCCTGGAGGCCAAAGGCCTCCACATACCTTAGAATTCAACCAAGTTGTGTTCTAGAAAAGCAGAGGCCTTAGATGGCCTTGTAGAGTAGTTATTCTGACCAAGACCAGCTGTGCATTCAAAATATGTCCCCTTATTGTATGCTTCTTTTGGGAAGTAGTTACTAACATTTGAAAACCAAAAGATTTCAAATGTCTGGATTTCTGACTTTCCTTAGCAAATGATAGTCCCAGCAATACTGGGATTTTTAAAAGATGCAGATTCTCTCCAGTTTAGCATAATCCCTAACTGGTTCCTGGAGACATTTGAATTTGCACCCTCTGGTTTAAAGTATAGTTGGACATAAAAGTAAATCTATGTAAAACAAAAGAAAAGAAAGCCAAAAATACAAAGGAGTGTCTGATAGTATACAAAGTGGGTGATATCATATGGACAGCCAGAAGAATTCTCAGGAAGGAAAGGACATTGAAGGCTAAGGTAGTCACAATAGATATGTTGCTGGGCCTTAAAGGATGGGCAGACATTGCTGGGTGAGGATGGGGTGAGAGTGGAGGAAGGCCAGAGGTATCATGTAGGTGGAAGTTCAGGTAATATGATGTTGTAGAATGTGCATTTCCTTAACTCAAAATTCACAAAGACTAGGAGCATTCCTACTGCTCATGAATGGTGTTGAAACCTGCAAAGTTGAGTGAAAATTTTTGTTTGTGTTGTTTTCCCCTGTAAATAAGATTTAATGCTTCTAGCAGATTCTTAAAAGAATTTCTGACCCCCAAATGGTGAGGATGACTGTTTATAAGGTTTGGGTATTTGGCCTCTCCAAATCCCATGTTGAAATTTGATCTCCAGTGTTGAATGTGGTCCTGGTGGGAAGTGTTTGGGTCATGGGGTACGGATCCCTCATGAATGGCTTGGTACCTTCCCTGGTGATAATGAGTGAGTTCTCACTTTATTAGTTCATGTGAGAGCTGGTTGTTTAAAAGAGCCTAGCATCACCTCTGCTCTCTCTTTGCAACTTCTCTCGCCATGTGACATGCTTTCTTCTGTTTCGCCTTCCATTTTGATTTGAAGCTCCTGAAGCCCTCACCAGAAGAAGACACTGGCATGAAGCTTCTTGTACAGTCTGCAGAACCATGAGCCCAATAAACCTCTTTTCTTTATATTAATAAATTATCCAGCCTTGGGCACTTCTTTAAAGCAGTGCAAAACGAACTAAGACAACTGGCATAGGGAGATATTGAGAGATAATGTTAGAGATGTGATTTGGGGACTGGCTGTAGAGATATTTGACCCCCCAGCTGAAGAGTCTTTGGCTATAGGTGACCTACCTACAGCTATAGGATTCTGTAGGTGATGGGGAGTCTTTGAATGCAACCAAGAGGGTAATTTAAGTGACACATGGGACGTTGTAACAGCTACCATTTATTGTACACTTTTTATGTTCCTCACACTATGCTGAGCTTTTTTAAAAATTGAGATGAAATTCATATAATGTAAAATCAATCATTTTAAACTGTACAATGCAGTGGCATTTAGTACATTCACAATGTTATACAATCATCATGTCTATTTAGTTTCTAGATGTTTTTATCACTCCAAAAGGAAACCGCATACCCAGTAAGTAGTCACCTCCCTTTTCCTTTTGCCCCCAGCCCCTCTAGTATGCTTTCTGTCTCTATTATCAATTCTGGATTTTTCATTTAAATGGGATTATACAATATGTGACTTTTTGTGTCTGGCTTCTTTCACTTAGTATAATGTTTTTAAGGTTCATCCATGTTGTACCATGTGTCAGTACTTTATTCCTTTTTATGACTGAATAATATTTCATTGTATAGATAGACTATAATTTGTTTAGCCACTATTCATTAGTTGATAGACATTTGGGCTGTTTTCACCTTTGGGTTATTATGAATAGTACTGCTGTGAACATTCATGTACAAGTGTCTGAATACTTGTTTTCAATTCTTTTGGGTACATACCTAGTAGTAGAATTGCTGAATTGTATGATAATTTTATATTTGGTTATTTTGAGGCTATGCTGAGTTTTATGTATGTTCTCTTCTTTAATCTTCTTACCAATTCAGGGAGGAAGAACTATAATTACCTCTTACAGATAAGAAATTACAGGTAAGAAAACAGGCCCAGAAAGTTAAGTGACCTTCCTAAGGTTGTGTAGCTAGTGAGTGGTAGAGTTGAAATTTAATCTCAGGACTGATTGATTCCACAACCTGAGCCCTTAACCACTATACTACTCTGCTTCTCTATAGCACCTAAGGAGGATGGCATCTCCCAATATGGCCAGAAATGAGTTATTTATTTTCCTTGTCCAGAGAACTGTTAATTGAAAGAAAAAGTCTTGGTTCAAGAATGTTATCCAATGGTAAAGCTACAAAGCCACCTATTATTATCTGTTAAACTGAATGGGAGTTTTACCATGAAAAGGACAGCAAACACAGTCTCTTTGGGCACTTCTCTGCTCACCTGTACAGTCAGGCATCACTGCCAACTGGAAGGAGTACGGGCACTTACTCTCTTAGCTTTCTCCACTTTCTCTGTTCTTTTGGCCACCCCTTCAATGTCTCACCACCTCTAAGCCCTTTGTCCCTGAGGGACTGGTGATTTCAATTTTCTGAGCAGGAGGTGGTACTAACACCTGAATCTTCATTTCATGCAGGAATTTCCTACCACTTGTCAGAGAGAACTCACAATAAGTGGTGTTCATTAGGATTAATACCTATTGACTGTGGAAAAAAGTGAAATTGATCACGAACAAACGTTTTTGAAACAAGACCCCAAGGTGACTGAGGAGGAAGGCAAGGAGCTAGGTGTCTGCTGGGTTCATCAACTGATACCTGGTAACTGTATAACAGTGAAATTGATAATATGAGACATGATTTCTAGAAAGTGCCAACATCACTGTGGGGGAAACAGGCAGTGAAACCTCTGTTGTATATGCTACTCCAGAGAAGTACTGAAGAGCCTAGCTATATCCCCAAATGCTCCCATCCTATTCTAAAGTGGAATATTTTATTATCCTACTAAAGGGGGAGGGCCACTCCAGACACTTGAGTATGTGAATAGCTGGCTGTCTACCAAGGCATGTGCTACTGAAGTGCAAAATTGCATGTTCAAAAAGTTTTTAAATTCCCTTAGTATCTGTTGTCTATTGCATAGAAATAAAAGCTTTTGGAATGTACCTTGATTTATTTTTCTGTTTGTATGTCTTCATTTGTACTCAGCCATTATGCCGAGCATCTTTCATGTGCACCTCTGGACCCATCCGTGAGTTGTCTTGCCCTCTAGTTTCTCATTGGCCAGTGGAGGCACTAGCAGGAGATGGGAGGGAAAGAAGAAATGGAGTTGAGCATATATGAATTCCTAAGTTACTCCCTGATGAAACACAAGTTGGTAGCACTTTTATTTCTCTCTGGTGGGCTCCTGTAAGGTGGCCCTCTCCCAAAGCTATAGATCTTGTTGAGTTCTGGTAATATTCATTCCATAAGCCCCTTAAACCTTGCTGTGGTATCAGCTTCCTATTTTTGCTAGCCCTGGGGAGCTTCATCTCCTGTTTGTTTCCCTTAGCTTACCTACACCATTAGAAAGTCCTTATAAACTCTTTTACCCCTTCAGCATGTTGCCTGTTTCCTGCCATGACCCTGACTGGTTAGCCACTTAACTCCTCTGTCCCCATGGAAGATATCTATGAGATGACAGGGTGGGGTAAGAATCCCAGGGCTAGAACAAAGGACAGCTCAACTACACATCAAACGGTGGCACCATCATCTTGTGTCTAATGAGACTGGACCAGTGAACAGGGTAACTGAGGGCTGAGGAGCTTGGCCAGGGAATGGGACCAGAAGAAACTGGAAGGGAAGTTGTCTAGGATCAGACACCCAGAGTAGAGGAGAGGAAAATAATGTTCCAACCAGAGTTATTAGCTGTAGCAACATGAGGGGCAATTGGTGAGATGATTTGTGTGTTTCAGCTGTGCACACAGAGCTCACTTTCACAGATGTCCCTATCACTAGAGTAACCTTTCCCTTTCCTTACTATACCTTGAAAGGGGGCTTCCTCCATGGGCACCTGACTTGGCCATCTCCTGACCCCTTCTACTCCAGGATCTGAGCTCCTTGCAGGTTTTTGGAATTACCTTAGCCATTTCTTATTTCAGTTCTGTGTCACTCAGATGGTCCCCTTTGCTAATGTTTTTATCATGATCATTCTTAGTCTTTCTTTAAGACCTGTTCAACTGTGTCAGTTCTTAGTCTTTCTTTCAGATCAGCTGAGAGGCTCAGAAAGCCTTATCTATTCCTTGCTCTGATAAGAACGCTCTTCTGGGCCCCACAGTATCATCCCAGTCTTCTTTCTTATCCCCCACTGCCAGAACATGAAACCTGTCCAATAGGGTTTTGGTCCCACTTACCAGTACAAGAGGTAGTTTAGAAAATGTAGTTGGGAGAATAAACATTAAAATTTAACATTTTAGAGATCTCTGGGGGCAGTGGGATAAAATATCTGTACCTATATTTTGAAAGTGAGAAAGGAGCCCCCATAAGAACTTCTAAAAAGTTCTATTTCATAAGGTATGAACACAAACGTTTAAGTATGAAACCAAATTCCTTATATGTTAAATAAGATGGAACATGCCAACAATGGGTACAAAGAGAAGCAAAACCCCCTAGGATGGAGGGAAAAGGAACAACTTAACTTTTGAATTCTTAGGGAAAGTGGGCATTTTTCTTTATGATTCACTAAGCTTCTTGCCCTCAGGAGGGTCCAGAAAAATATGTATAAAGAAGATTATGTTTACCTTTTTGTTGTAAAATATGTCAAAGTTCCCCAAGACCACTCCTAAGTTTGGTGATTTGCTAGAAGGACTCATGGATTCAGTATGTAGCCATATTCACAGCTATGATTAATTACAGTGAAAAGACACAAGCAAAATTAGCAAAGGCAAAAGGCATATGGGGTGAAGTCTGGGGGAAACCAGGCACAAGTTTCCCAGAGTCTTCTCCTAGTAGAGTCACAGAGGACAGATTTAATGGCCCCAGCAACATATTGTGACAATATGTGTGAAATGTTTCCAAGCAGAGATGCTCACTAGAGACTCAGTGCCTTGGGTTTTTACTGGGAGCTGGTCATGTAGACACCCCTCTGTCTGGCATGTGCCAAAATCCAAGACTCCCACAAGGAAAGCAGGTATTTAGCATAAACTATATTGTTTGTGCAAACGGTGTAGGTACAGTGAGCCTCCAGTTCTGGGAATGGTGGGAACCTTCCCCAAATCCAAGTTTACAGGTGCCAGCCAAGGCCTGACCTTGCAAGCAGGCCTTTCTACTAGGGATAACATTCCTCAGGTCAGCTAGGTTCATTTTATTCCCTAGGAGGTAGGTATCACACTGATTACTCTTGGCCAAAGGAGGCAGCAAGGGTCATTTACTTTTCCTTAGATCCCGTGAAAACTTGGAGCTTCCTAGAATGTCAGCTTAGAATTCTAAGCAATGATTTCCAAACCTCAAAGGTACTGCTAACAGTCGGCTTCAACTAAATTGTTACCCATAGCCTTTGCATTCCTTTGCATTCCTTCCTGAGGGGCTTAAATCCAACTTCCCAAGCACCATCCCTGCTGCACAGAAGACTTTCTCTCAGGGCTTTCCAGGTGTTAAAAGCTATGTCATAGGAGGGTCCTCCACCAAATAAACTCTCTTTTATCACAAAAACTTTATATTCTTTACATTCTTCCCCCCAACTCAGCACCTTTGGATTTATTCCCAGGCATACTCTCCTGGTTCTTGGCCACCCATGTCAGACAGAGTCTTGTAGCACCTGGGCATAGAATTCTTCTCTCCCTAGAAGGCCCAACACTTGCTCAGTTAGGTTAGGCTGAGATTCAATTCTTGGTGTTGGTCTGGCAGTCAGCAAGGGAGGTGGGGGTGTTGTTTCATTAGGCACTTACCTCATTAGAGGCTTTGCTCATTCTTCAAGCAAGGGAAGGGGCTCTATCTTCAAACAAGAGCAGGGGGAAACTTCTGGAGGGCCAGTGATCTCAGAGGGATCTTAGGGTTGAAAGAGCTCAAATACATATTTCTAGGTATCTTTACCCCAAGTCACAGAGTCCCACTTCTTCCCACAAGATCCTTCACTTTGATGGAGGAGATATACCTAGGTTAAGAATCTAAGAACTTCTTTGAAGTTCAGTCACTCTTACAATTAAATTCTGTGTCTGTTCTTCAGTTCTGTTTTCATGCTCAAGAAGATTGGAGTTTCTATAAATACTGCCAAGGGGGCTCTTGGACACATTTGCTCCAAATTGTTCAGTAATTGCCCTGAGGCTGTCATTTTTTTTTCTCTTGGAAACTTTCATGGTATTCAGTGACAGCCACCCAATTCCACAGTCCTTATAATGACTATATCTCTCACTCCTCTAACACCAGAGATGTTGCACAGCCTGTGCATCCTCTTGAGCCTGTGCCTGGTCTCAGGTCTCCATGGGTGACGGTCTCAGCAAGCACACTATGCCCACATGCCCAGAATGATGGTATTCCATGTCCCACTAGTGATGGGCTCCTCATTACCAGGCAGCCAATCAGTGATCTAACTCCAGAGTCCTTTCCTTTGAGTCTGGTTCTTAGGACCACTCTCTTAGGTCATGCAGAAGGCAGAACAATGCCCCGAAGTCATTCACATCCTAATCTCTGGAACCAGTGAGTATGTTACCTTACATGTCAAAGGGGACTTTGCAGATGTTATTAAGTGAAGGATCTTGAAATGGGGATGTTATCTTGTATTATTTAGATGAGTCCAATGTAATCACAAGCTGGTGAGTTTTAGCTGGTTCGCGGCCTCCAAGAGGGCAGTGCTGGTCTCTGGAGGAGGGTCAGAGTAGGCTATGTGATGACAAAGGCAGAGGTCAGAGTGATGTGAGGCCAAGAGCCACGGAATGCAGGCTGCTTTTAGAGTTGAAAAAGGCAAGGAATGGATTGCCCCCTGGAGTTTCAAGCAGGAATGCAGCCCTGCTGAGAACTTGATTTACCCCAATGAGACCTGGGTCAGACTTCTGACTTCTAGAAATGTAAGATAAATTTGCATCATTTAAGCTACTAAATTTGTAGTAATTTGTTCCAGCAGTGATAGGAACCAATACAGTTGGGTTGCCTAGAAGCAGAAACTGAAATAGCAATTTGGACATGCACAACTTATGGAGGGAATGCTCTTGGAGAATTCTGTAAGAGAGTAAGGAAGAGAGGTAGAAAAAGAAGAGTTAGGTAAAGCTGTGGTCCCAGTTAAAACCTAGCCTTGGCCTGACTCACGGAGGGTGGTATTCTGGCTGTAAGTCACACTGCAGAGTTATCTTTTCTTGAGTCAAGGGGATTACCTTTGATTCCAGTTTTAGGTTGTCATTGGCTGCCCCTTGTTTGGTGGGGGGAGTTTTAGGCGCAGCACATCCCCTCCTAGATGACCCTCTCTTGTCAGCAGAGAGGAGTTCTCCAGAGAAGAGGCATCTGTGAGCTGTTAGCAGCCAATACTCACAGTAGCTAGAGGATGGGTGCATAGGCCCAGTAAAGGAGATCTCAGTGTCCTTGCACAGGGCTGAACTTGTTTACCTCCACTGAGACCACCCTGATATGGCGGATCAGACAGATAAGAATATTTAAGCAATGACGGCTTTTCTAGCCTAATTGTATTGGCCTCGGAATGCATACTCAGTCTGACTTGCAGAGAAGTAACTAAGTGAATTCAGCTACCTGGTTACCAGTTACTTGGTGGTTTTGCAGAATTGAGCTGCTTTACCAAATTCTCCCAACTTCTGCTTTAGTTTGTTCAAGCAACCTTTGCTGGCCCTAGCTGATTGGTGATCTTGCAGTTAGCATCAGGCTACTGGTGTGCTTGCATTTGAGTGGGAAGTCCCTTGGTCTGGCTGACTTACCTGGTCTGGGGCCTCCAAGGGAGCAGTGCTGGTCTCTGAATAGTAATTTTTGGTCTGTCACCTGACCTGATCAACATGGGATATGAGACACCAGCAGACAGTCTCCAATGGAGATAGGATTTCAGCCTTAATTATTTTACCCCTTGATGACATAACGAACACATCCAAACTGATGGAAAATGGGATTCTTCACTGAGCCGCGTCGTGCCCCAGATCTGTAATTTGATACAAAAGCTTCACACAAATTGAAATTAAAATGCATTTTAGATGCTTCCTCCCATCAAAGCAGTTTACACCAGCAGGCTTCTCTCTTTCAGGAGTTCGCTATAGAAATAGAAGAAAACGGGCAGCTTTGCTGTTGGCGGCAGTGGAAGTAACAATCTCCCTGCTTGTCAACTGCAGGCAAGAAAATGAAATAAAATGAAAATCCATTGGAGGTCTAATTATCCTTTTCAAGATGACTTCATCCTGTAGAGTGCCCCATTGAATATGTAAAAGGCACCTTTCCCTTCCTTTCTTCTTTTCCCTTTGGGTATTTGGGGCCAAATTAACAGAGGGGGGGTCACGTTGGGATTCGAGAGATGGGGTGCTCAGTGCTTGAGTCCAATTTACTTGCTTAACAACTCTTAGAGAGGGAGTATCTGCCAAGCACTGTTTAAAGCACTCCTCAGACAGTAACAATTTAATTCCTCATAATGACTCTGCGAGGTAAGTACTGATGTTATTGCTATTTTAGGGAAACTAAGAAGCAGAGATGTGAAGTGACCTTCCCAAAGTCACACCTAGTAAGCAGCGCCAGAATTGGAATTTGAACCTTGACACTCTGGATTCAAGTTTCAAGATCTTAAGCAATTTGCTGTGTTCTTCATTATTGTAATGAAGAATCTGGGGGGAGTTTGGCTTTAACAGAGGGAAAAAAAAATCCTGCCATTGCTCCAGACTCTAACCCTAACCCTAACCCTAACCTGATGGTTTCGTGGTAGGGCAAGCCTTGGTCACAGCAGGTGGGGAAGTGTGGATCCAGCTGTGCTTACAGCACATATTGTTCTGCTCTAGCTTTTTTCTCTTAATATGATGGCTTGGCATGCTCTCCTGCCAGCCAAGTAGAGTTACTTTGTTCTTGCTTACATCTGCCTACTGTTTACTATGTACATTATCCGTAATTTAACCAGTGTGCAACTCTCAGACATTAGGCTGTTCCCAATTTTCTGTCATTAAAAACAATGGTGTAATGAACATCTTTATATAGCCAGCATGTTTTGTGAGTTTTTTCATAGGGTGGATTCCTAACTAGGGGATTGCTGAGTCAAAGGGCATGTATATTTTAATTGTGATAGCTCTTGCCTAATTGCCGTCTTACAGAGAGGTTGCTGCAATTCATACTGTCCCCCAAAGTGGCTGGAGAGTACCTGTTTCTTCACTTCCTTCACACACTGTGCATCAGAAAACTAAAAAATATAAAATTGCCTATGTGAGAACTGAAAAATGGTATTTTTTTATTGTTTTGATTAATTATGAGGACAGTTAAGTGTCTCTTCATTGCTTATAGTCTAGTTCTATTTATTTTTCTGTGTACTACCTACTTGAATCATTTTTTTTCTGGTAGGTTCTCTATCTTTTTCTTACTGATTTAGGCATCTCCTTTATTTTTTTAAAGCCTTGAAGGGCTCTAGCTCTTTAGTTTACAGCTGGCTTTTTACTCTGGCCTGGAAAGACTTTGGATGAACTAACTTTCTCCTTCTTTTCCTTTGCTTTTCTCTCCTTTAATCTTTATTTCCGAGTACAGTGATGTGCACCCTGTGGACACAATAAACATGTACTGATTGACTGTTTTATTTATCTGATTTTTATGGCTTCTTTCCTCTGAAGAGCTCCACAGACTTTATAGTCATTAACTTGATAACCCTCAAAGCACTCTAGTGTGGCAGCTGTAATCACTGTCAGGGTTTTTGAGATGGTGAAACAGAGAACCTAAGATTCTCCAAGAATTATTCTTTGAGGGCCTCAGGAGGGGCCCTGGGGGAAGTTCAGCCCCGATGCAAGCTTGGGACCAAATAGTGTTGAGAAGGGTCCTAGTCAGAATGACCACAGGATGATGGGTGGGTGATCACTGGGTCTATAAGGATTGCTCCAGACACCCACCAGAAAGGGAACCTCCCCTCTTAACTGTTAAGTAAAACTGAATAGTAGTTATGTGTACCCGGGTTCAAGTGTTAGTTCTTCATCTTAATAGTTGTGTGATGGTGGGTAATAATAGTAGCTAATGTTTATTGGGCTCTTACTACATGGCAGACCACATGCCAAATATTTTTCATGTACAGCCTCATTTAACCTTGAGACCAATCTTGTGACATGCCAAATGGTTAAGTAATTGGTCCAAGGTGGTGTGGAACTGTGTGTTGTTGTTTGCAGTGGCCTAGATGGTAGCCCCTGAAAGCTAGTCCATGTCCTCATCCCTGGAACCTATGAATGTGACCTTGTTTGGAAAAAGAATCTTTTCAGATGTAATTAAGTTAAGGATTTCAAGATGAGGTATTTCTGAAATATCTGGTTGGATCCTAAATCCAACAAGTGTCCTTGTAAGAGACAAAAGAGGAAAGACTGAGAAAAGGAGAAGGCCATGTGAAGTTGGAGGCAGAGATTAGTGTGATGTAGCCACAAGCCAAAGGATGCCTGGAGCCACCAGAAGCTAGAAGAGGCATGCAGAATCTTCCCTTAGAGTGTATGGAGTGAACACAGTCCTGCTGACTCCTTGATTTCAGAATTTTGGGCTCCAGAGTTGTGAGATAAAAAATTTCTATTGTTTTCAGCCTCCCAGTGTATGGCAATTTGTTACGGTAGCCACCGGACACTAATGGTGTTGAGGTATGAACCCAGGCAGTCTGGAGTCCAAGTCTGCAACCTTAATGGTGAAACTGTTCAGTGGGCATGTGGCTGCACCTCTCTGTGCATGTTTCCTCACCCATTTACAGGGCTAGTGACTGTGCCTACTCTAGAGTGGTGTTTTGAGGGTTAAATGAGATAATATATATAAAAGGTAGAGGAGCTCACTAAATGCTAGCTCTTATTGCTTCTAGGATTGTTGTTGTTATGGAGTGACCTTAGGAATGGCTACTGTGTGCAAATTTTAGTCAGGGACAGACTCATTCCCTTGTGGCCAATATTGGTCTTGTAGGGAAGGTACTTTCTAGAATCTTGAGCTAATACCATTCTGGGTATTGGTAGTTGAGTAAATACCTTGGGAACATAAGTTGGTCTCCTTGTGTTTTTGTTTTGTGGTTACCTATGAATTACCCAGTTTCATTTTTGTGTGCTGCCCTTTGTTTTATTTTTTAATACTAACAATCCTTATACTTATTGTTAACTTACATTTATATATATATATTTTTAGATAGAGTCTCACTCTGTCACCCTGGGTAGAGTATAGTGGTATCATTTTATTGTAGCTCACTTAACTTCAAACTCTTGGGCTAGAGGTGTGAGCCCACTACACCCAGCCAATTTTTATATATTATACTTATTGTTAAATTAGAGTTGACTTTACTTAAGTCCCCAAGACCACCCTCAGGTTTGGTAATGCATGCGGAGGACTCACAGTACTCAGGATATAGCCAGATGCATGTCTAAGATATATTACAGTGCAAGGATTCCAAGAAAAATCAGCAAGAGCAAAGGTTCTTGGGGTGAAGTCTAGAGAAAACCAGGCACAGGCTTCTCAGAGTCCTCTCCCAGTGGAATCACACAGGACATGCTTAATTACCCTAGCAATGAGTTGTGAAAACACATGTGAAGTGTTGTCAACCAGGAAAGCTCACTAGAGAGACTTAGTACTCTGCGTTTTTTATTGGGAGCTGGTCATGTAGGTACCTTCTGCTAATGATGTACCAAAATTCCAGACTCCCATAAGGAAGGCAGGTGTTCAGCATAAACTACATTGTTTGTACAAATAATTTACATACAGTAGCTACCTTTATCAGTTAGGGCATGGTCAGAACCCTCCTGAAATCCAAGTTCCCAGACACTAGCCAATGGCCTACCTTGCATGCAGGCTTTTCTAAGAATAGCAGTGTCAGACATACTATGTTAACCCTTTTCTGCACAGAGTGCAATAAAAGTTAGCAATTTCTGGAAATTATTTTAACTAATTATTGTAAGACCCTTCTGGTGTGGACAGTAGTATTATTCACAATTAGAGATGAAGAAATTGACACTCAGAGTGTTAAAGAACCTCAACCAAGATCATCACTGGTAGATTCACACCCACACTTGTTGGACTGTAACCACTATGCAATAAAGCCTTCACATGACAGGGAGGAATGAGAAAGAAGACAAAAGGAATTATTTAAAATGGCTCTAACAGACAGCACGTAGGCTGGGTTGTGCTGTAGCAATCTCCATAATCTAAATAATTTAAAACAATTGATTTATTTTCCACTTAAGCTCCGTGTATATCGCAGGTTAGCTGGGGTTCTCTCCATGTTGTCCTCACTCTGTGACCCAGCTACTGGAGCAGCTACTGCCTGTCTCCAGGTCAGGAGGAAAGTACACGGGCATATTGCGTGTTAGCTCTTGAAGGTTTCACACTGAAGTATGATGTTGATGCACATCACGTCCATTGACCAAAGCAAGTCACATGACCTCACCTAGATTTGGAGGGTGGGGAAATACACTCCTGTTGGGAATATTCACTGAAAAGCACCAATAACTGCACAGCAGCCACACAGGATTGGCTCTGGTTATTGCATCTTCCCTCTGAACTCTCCAACAAGGCCCCCCCCTTCTCCTGATATAGGTACCATGAGTGTCGTAGAGTGCATAACTGGAGCCTAGGGGCAGTGTCATGTGTCTACTCTTTTTGCCCTACACTTTGACCCCACACTTGAATTTACAAAGATTAGTACCACTGGAGCCCCTTCTTCACTAAGCCTCTGCCTCATCCCTTTCTTCTGCCAGCAAACCAAAGTCATGTGAAAACTGGATCTGGGAGAAAAACTCCTGGCTGGATGGAGCTTTTTGAATCCCTGGCAAATATTGCCTAGACTTCTGAAACCTTGGGTTCCTTAAAAAAGAATTCCAGGGGTATATTTATTAGCAAGAATGGATTTCGACAGATTTTCATGTTTCTCTTTCTTGGCAGGGCGTGCAGGGATCTCCTGCCAGCTTCTGACAGCCTCGTCGCTAGGTGTTAAATGAAAAACATCATCAGCCTGGTCTATTGATAGGTTCAAGTGACAGTGTATGTTGCCAATCTCAGCCAAGAATCACTTCTGACAATTTTCCTCTCCATCCCCACACTTGGGCGGGAATGTCTTTTCACCCCCTTTCCTTGGGAGTTTAAGATACTGTAACCACATTAAGGCTGCATATGTCTGCATGGCTGCAAGGAGTAGGTTTGTGGAGGAATTAAGCAGGGCATATGGCTTCCAGCGAGCTGCCTGTATCTCGGCAGCTTTGCCCAGCCCTGTGCCAAGTGAGGCCGTCAAAGCCGCTCTGCCCGGTCCTCCTGAGGAGAGGGGTTTTATCCAAACTTGTTGATTAGTACTCACAGAAGCTGCCAAAATGATCTGCCCACTTGGCAAGAGTGGCCCCTCTTGTGGAAGCCACCTGATGGACAAA